ACAGACTTCTGGGGGAAGTGTAAGGCAACAATAGTCTACAGTGTGTATAAATAGGGATTGGACAGGTAAGGGGGTACCCCTCCGTCCCATATCTTGCCTGGTATAACTGGCTGCTTGTCCATGTTTGTGGGTGTGCAAGTTCAGCCTTTTTATAGTGCATTTTGAAACCGTGGTAGTTGCTATCACTCCACACCTCTGTCCTTGAATCACATCTTTTCATTGATCGTGTATGGAGGTAAACAGATTTGACGTCTTTTTTAATTTTCGTGAGAACGCCTCCTTCACATTTACAAGAGTGTGAACACCGGCGCAATAACTCACTACAAACATGTGAAGGCTCTGCACAAAAAGGGAATGGTCCAGAGAATTATGTACAATACAAAGGGATGGGTTCTGTCTTTTAAAGAGGTCCATTCGTAAACGTGCAAAACATTTTCCATTTCGACTTTTTAAAGCAAAAAGTTTGTTTCGACTGTGAAACGTCCTCGGCGTGTGTGATTGTCTTCGGTAATGCTTTGTCTGTGCTCGACTAGTGTCGGTCCTTCCAGGCTTCGTTTAGGAAACCAATCCCCGATTGTGGGCCTGAAGCGTTTAACTGAAATTGAAGTACTGTAATGTTTGGCTCTTTTGCATCTTACTTGATGTTCTGTGGCACTATCAGACTTACTATTGCGCTTACAACCTCAAAGTCAGGAAGTAAAAAAAAAAACAGTTGAAGCCTGAGACGGAGCCCAAGTCGAGTATTGGAAAACGGCCCTAGAAACTCCTGGTTGGCCATAAAGCGACAAAATTGAAAAAAAAAAAACCCATCGTGTATCCTCAAGAAAGCAACAAGGCCAAAAGATAACGCTGCAGCAAAAGAACAAATTTGTCAAAAGAAATGAACATAAACAAAGAACAAAGCATTACGACAACAAACTTGTAAATAAAAAGACAGGGTGCAAAATCAAATAAAGGACGAAAAAAAGTTGAGAAAATAAAGACAAACTCAAACGCAACCGAGACAGAGACGAAGTTGAGTATTGAAAAACGGCCTAGGTGACGTGTCGGGCGGAAATTGGTGTTTTACAAGACAAAGGTCGTAAAGGTGAATCAGTTATCAAGCAGCCTCAGCAACACCAATGGGCGGTGAGAGGCGAGTCAGCAAGTGGGATCGTGATTGGCTCATGTTTGTTCTCTCGGCGCATGCGCGTCGCACTCCTCGTCTATTGGTTCAGATAAACAAGTTTCACTGACTGGTTTCCACTCTTTAAAAGTGTAATAACAAGGACGAGACTGGGAACCATTCTACAAACATTTACCATTCCTCAAAACTGCGAGCACGTGACCTCATATATTTAGGTCCCTCATGATTACAAAAATCGAGTAATACTGAAGACACACAGACACAACCAGGGTTTCAACGCCAGCCGGAAAACCTGGCCCGCTGCACAAACGGAAAACATCTTGATTTCTCTCCGCCGTTGTCTGCAGTCATGCTGAAGGGTACCCGTGTTCAGCTCCTTGTTTTCCTCTTGTGCATTCTGCTATTGATTCCTAATCCAGCAGGTATGTAGGCCGACGATCTTCTTTTCCAGAAAGGAATAAATTGATGTTGTATGTCCAGCCCCTAGGCCAATATTATTTTCCCAAGGTGAATAACCTGTTTTTTATGCACTACAGTAATGCTCCACGTTGAAGACCAAAGACGCGTCCGTCGTCAAAAATTTCTTATCATGGGCTAAAATTACCTTCATAATAATGCATAGCCAGCAATTGTCACTATTTATCACAGAATCTGAGCATTTTGTACAACAAGAATTCTTGCACAAATCTTAGCCGAACAGTGTGAATAGTGCAATTGCTGGAGGTGACTTGCAGTATCGAGAAATAAAAGAATCACACCGTTTTGCAGTTTCTGGTCAATGCAGGGGTTGATTATCCCTCGTCTGCAGTGTATGTTTTGTTCTCTTATTTGTCTGTGCTTATTACACGGAGCATTTCAGTTTTATTAACATCTGGGATGCAAAGCGGCTGATTTTCATTTGTCGTAGGTTTTGAAAATAATTGGCCCGAAATTTTTGAGAGCGATGTTAGCCATACTGACAAAATAACAGGGAAATGCATATTTGTCAGTTGTTCAATGCATTTTATATATTTCAGCCAAGAAGATATATTAAGTTATCGATTCTGTTGAAGACCCTGGGCCGGTTTTAAACGAACACGGTTCATTTTATACCGACATTGATTTGAAGGTAATGTATCACATGAAGTGAAGCCCAATAATGCTTCCGTCCTGTATAAAGTAAAAAGTTTGAAATTTTACGCGTGTTGGGTCGATCTTGGTTTTCTGCGAACGTTTTTATTATTGCTCAACTAAATGCGGATGTTTTTATTTAGAAAATGTAACCTTTTTAATTTTAAACGAACATTTTTTTGGCATCGTGAATGAACAAGATTGATTTTGTCAAAATTTTGTTTTGGAAATGCCTTGGAGAGTCGCAGGGCGAAAATAAAAGTGTGGATTTCTTCCTTGCTGCTGTGCGATGTCTTTAATAGTATATGCTTGATTTAAAGAAATGACCGGCACTGGGCATGCGTATGCAGATGCCGGGATCGGAAAAAAGGTCGTCATTGCCATGTGTCGGCGCGCGGAACAAAATGTGTCGACCGAATGAATTCACATCATGGCGTATAATGTTCCTTGAGTCTTTCTTGTACACTTAGGCATAAAATGTAGGTTTTTCCTGACAGATTTTACTTCAGCCATTTAGTTCATTTTCACGAGAACCCCTAAATTTGTTTTAAAACAAAAGATTGATCTAAGGTGAAGCCGTGGGCGCACCAGACGTACAATTGCGTCCTCAAACATCACCCCCTCCAACATTTTGACTAAAACTACAGGTAAAAGGAATAACTGTTTTTTTTTTACTTTTTTCCACTCTGAGTGTTTTCATTGAAATAGATGGAAAAATTTCCCTTTTACACAGAATGCTGGTGGAGAAGACGACGGAGGCGATGCCCTCACCCACCAGGTAAGCAGTCCTACAAAGTATTTTCTTTTCAAAGTTTCTCATCACTGACAGTGACCCTTGTTCAGTTATTCGACAATATGCCTAGCCATCCGCCCTGAGCAGAAACATCCCCTTATCGGTTGAAAAGAGCCAAGGAGTGATCATTTTGTTGGTAGCGACGAGACTGTAACGCGTGCATTTTATAGTCCTTTGTGAATCAGCGACGTGCAGTTCCGAGTTCCAACCAGAGGAGCCTCCGGTGCCAGGAAAATTGCACCCTCTCTTGGTCCAGCTCAGGGCTCATAACCCAAAAGATCTTCTCAAACCACAAGTCTCGAAAAAGTCATCATTTTGTTTGGAAATCAGAGTCGACTCTATAGCAATTACATGTAAGTCATGCTGTCAACCGTTATAAAAAAATCAACAACTTGTGCCAGATAAGTTTATCGACATTAAAATTTGACTACTTACTGAGTTACACATCTGACTGGCCAGGGATGACGAAGTTACTATGACGAATTACTCCTGAACAGTCTCATACACGTAAAAGAAAAAACAACACTTAGGCTTGAGTGACCAGAACTTGCGCATCGGGTTTTCTTAGTGGAGGTTCTCTCTGGGTGGGTGCCTCCAAGCACGCCGATGTGCAAATATCTAGACTGAGAGCGCCATTTTTGTGGGTGTAGACTGATCGCGGGGCCATTCCTCATTCAGGTAGAGCTCGAGCTTCTCTCAGACCATGCTGAAACGCGCGCGCTCAAATTAAATCCCGTGATGGCCTCGCATGAGTGGCGTCTCTGAGGAGTTGTAGGTACTCGGGAAGACACTGGCGTTATTGACCATTTTTGTCAGCAATCCAGAGTGTGAGCATTTTGAAACGCATCTTCCTTTTACGGGGGTTCGTAAATAAAAAAAATCAAACATTCATCTTTAGAAAATTTCTATTATTTTTGTCCGTTGGACGCCTGAGTATAAACAGGCCGTTCTACTCCACGGTATGCTCCGGGCGAACGTCTGACACTTGCTTGGTGAGACAGATCAAGGCAGATTGCGAAGGGTTTTTCGGACTCCCAGCAACCAAAATGTGTTCATTTGCACTCTAAAAGGCACAAAAGCAAAAAAAAAAAAAAAAAGAAATGCCGTCCTGATGAAAGATTCTGAAAGAGTGTCATGACAGTAGATGTCCGCTGTTTCATGCGAGATTGCGAAGGGTTTTCGGACTCCCAGCAACCAAAATGTGTTCATTTACACTCTAGAAGGCACAACAGCAAAAAAAAACACAAAAATGCCGTCCTGGTGAAAGATTCTGAAGGAGTGTCATGACAGTAGATGTCCGCTGTTTCATGAACATCGCCCCAGTGTCATAATGGTGTCAGCACCACCTACTCGCTTTATAGATTGCTATGGCCGCGCAAGTCAACCCCATACAATCCGCATCCCCCACCAGTTCCCGACACAGTCAAATTCACACCAATGGTGAACTCCACGTCCACCGTAACCGCTCCCTGGAGGGGCAAGTTATTGTAACAAAGTACTCTGACATAGCCGTATCGCCTCATTCGCATGGGTGAACGTCATTGTGGGCCTTCGCGGGCGGTGGCTTGTGCTCTATTATTTCGCCATAATTATACATTAGGCTGAATTGCCCTTCAGTTGTGTCTGCCAAAAAAAAAAGAAAGAAAAAAGGAAATATTAGTGGTGTGAATGTGTGTATTTCAATGGCTATTTTCTTTATGACAATACAGTTTGATTGGGAGGAAAGGGCTCTTATTCATTGAGGGGATTCCCTTAAATCATACGCAAAAACATGAATGATAAATGAAGAAAATTACCAAAGTCGAGAGCGGATCACATGACTGTACTTTTGAAGCAAAGAAATGATTTGTTCATGTAATTTACAGAGAGCATCACAGTCATTAGTAAATGTATCGCAATTAATTATCAAATGTGCTAATGATATAAACTAAGCTATCCTCGAGAGACGCTTCTGCTTTAGAAGATGATCACATCTTAAGTGTTTTGTGTTTGGCATACCTTACCGTGCTGTACCGTACCATACCAGTGGAATTGAACTTTCAGGAGTTATCAAATAAAACCATTTTTTACCAATGCATTCATAAACATTCGTTATTCGTATACTGTTGTCTAAGTGGCCTGTGGATGGAGATTTGTTTTGATGAATCCAAAAAGCCCGAGTCGGGTAACTGGGCGAAAAAACAGACTGAGTGGTTGTCTTTTGCCAAACCCGGGTTAGAAATTTTACGTTTTCTTGTTTAAATATTGTCAAAAATTTTACCTAAACTAGGCCTATCAGGACTGAGTAATGGTTCCTTAAGGTCAAAATGTTAGTTGGTTTACGTGAGCTTGTTTCCTTATGGTAGGAACAGGGTGCTAATGGTAATGAACCCCATTATGTATCTTCACAGACAACCCCCCATATTTCACAAGATGCCCCTCAGAGAAAAAAGTGAACACCGACGAGGCAGATGGTAAAAAGAGTGTTTCCTACAACATGCCAGAAGCAGCAGACGACAGGCGTCTCAACGCTGTCAGGTACATGTATAAACCAACCTTATTGCTTGGCTCGAATAACTTGAAGTGCAAAGTTGGATTAATAAAATGATTTATTAGTAGGCCTATGCGGAGATTGGTTTGGTTTATACACTGCGGTCTCCAAAGTTCTTACGCTTTCGACAGTGCGGTTTTGTATAGCCGGCAGTGCGAGTGGCGAATATATTATGCCGGTGGGATCATGAATCGATTTTCCATTTCTTCAAAATAATGGATCGCGCATTACATCTGCACATTTTTCATTCGAGAATCTCCAGCTCAATGGGGGGAGGGTGGAGCCCGCCCCTTTCGCTCCTGAGATTTTAACACCTTTTTAAACTTTTTATAGTAAACTCTTTCGCCAAACAGTTGCCAGTAATCCTTAATCAAACACCTGTATCTTGACAAAGTGGTTGGATTTGTGTAATTGTAATGTCGGTGGTACAGTTGAACCGCCGGTAAAAAAGCTAAACACTATGCATTGAACCATGATTTAACGAATAGGGGAAGAGGGTGCCCTTTACCCGCATCGCACTCCGTTGCTATTGTCTGCGTGCCGTGAAAAATCAAGGTGAACAGCAACGACCAGGAAACAAAATAAAAATACATAATATTGTTACCAAAGTGCCAGGGGACATACCATGGTTCCTGAGGGGAGATTAGTTTTTTTATGCCTCGTAAGAGATTCCTGTTTTCCATTGAAAACAGTATAAAAATAAACCAAAGTTCCCCAGCCACGACATTAGCCTTTGAGCTGGATTTCCTCAGCGAGCAGAGTGAAAAGAAAAAATCGCGTTCGAATTCAGCTGATTTTAACACATTACTCCGGCTGCATGAAGTTATCGGGTTGATTTTTCCCTGACAAAGGAGGCTGTGGAGTGCAGTGCGCGATACGGTGCGGCTCATGACAAACTGAGCATGCAGTGTTATGAATGTAGGCCTACGTCGATGACAGGGCAAAACCTGTAATTAAAAAAAAAGGAAATATATGTCGAAATAGTCTGCCTTTGACACTGCGTTAACTGTAACCAATTCTGTTGAGTTCTCCTCCAGAGAATGAGTCCCGCCAAGTTCCCCCTTAATTTCAAGTTTTAACGCATATGAAGTCATTCACCGAATAACCAGAATAACACATGTAGGCCTACATATGTCATCTAAAACTCCATACATGCTTACCATAACCAAACAACTCTCATCGCGCAGTCTCAAACAACTCTCCTCGCGCAATGCCTGTGACGGATGACGGATTTCAAAACAGTGAACTTGAATTGTGAGCTGGTGATCATATGCTTAATCTGTCCACAAAAAGTACATAAATGTACAGAGTTTGGCCTATAACAATTACAAATTAACAAGATGAATCAACAACGGCAATTTGTTTATCTAATTAAATCTAAGCAATCATAACTAATCACAGAATAACAAACAATTAACAGGATGTATGATAATAACCTTGTGTGCAGTTGTACATGTGTATGATGCCTGATTAAACCCCATACCTTGACATGAGCTTACAGCCTGTGCTTGGTAAATTGTCTCTGTTTTTGTCTTTTCTACCCCATTAAATACTTAAACATATCCTGAAATACCCGTTAGAAAACCCATTAGCGCCAAAAAGTAAATTTAAATAATGCATTAAATGAATCCCCATTAGCGCCAATAAAGTAAATTTACATAATGTATTAAATGAATCCCACTTACGACTTTGGTATAACGTGTGTCCTGAAACCAAATTGCATGGCGACTCATGAAGTAAGCTGAAATTTCTAGATAGTGCGCCCACTGAACAGCGCCCTCTTTTGACAAAATCAACCAACAATCGATAAAAGAGCATTCTGCCTTCTGCCTAACAACCAAAGGTCGTACAGCGCTGAAGGCGCAAGGTAACTCTGTCCAAAAGTTCGCCATCTTGCGTCGCTTCGCGGCGCTATACGATCTTTGG